ATTTACACTTAACATTATTTTTATTAATTTAGTCTTAAAAAAACTTTAAAAAATGTTTATTAAAACTAATTAGGGTCAACGACGTACAGCAAATAATTGCCGAAAATACCCTTCTCTATAAACTATAAAGGTTAGAGAGAGACAAAGCATGGGTATTTTTGGTAAAGGAAAGAAATCGTGGAGGTCGGCTGTGAGGTTTGTATGGGACAAATAAATCTTTATATTCTTAATAGTCATCTCATCATTATACTTGGATCTTAATATAGATGGCGGCTATGAATGTATTAAATTTAATATATATATAATTTTAAAAATAAGTATAACTCGGGATAATTAATATATATATTATTTATTTAAAGGACGATCATTCAAATCTTCGTATCTTTATCGGTTGTTTAGAGAATAGTTATTAAATCAGACATAATTCTAGTAGTAATATCACACCCGACCAACAAATCATGAGCTACCATATTCATGACTAGCACAAGGCGTGAACCAAGGGCATGAACGAGTAATTTACATCGTTTGTAAAGTATTTTGTTGATAATCATTTATGTTTCGGTTACATTTTGTCCACGACCTAAAATAGTTTCATATAGTTACAAAATTTGTTGAATTAATAAAATTACATATAAAACAACGAAATATAATTTTTTTTATAAAGTGACGTGTATATTGTTTGTCTATTAAATTTTAAATTATAAATTCAAATTTATGACCTCTGGATCAATAATATATATGTCTCGATAAGTTGACGCTACATTTTAATAGTTGAACCACATTACATATAAAAAAAAAAAAAAAAAAAAAAAAATTGAAAATTCATCGTTTTGTCATTTGTTCGGGTTGATTTAATTATTTCTAGTCGAGACAATTTTAATTTATTTTATTTTTTTTATAATATCCAACGACAATGATATTTATAAAAAAAAAATGTCATTTCATATTATATATATATATATATATATATAATATAAATATAAAATTTGTATGATGTGATATTTTTTGTGTTATATAAGTTGACATGCCAACCATATGTCATGTAATAAATCTTTGTAATGTGACATGTAAGATTAAGATGAAATGATAACACACTATTTGTAATGTGTGTTCTTGCTTATCTATTTGGGCTCTTTTTTTTTTAATTGAATTTTCCACTCAATGACTTTAAAAAATATTTTAATTAATCAAATCAATTTTTTATTAGTCAATTGACAAGAATAAAAAATAAAAAATAAAATAATAGATTATGTCCTTTGATTGAGTGGGTAGATTGAAATTATTTTAAAGATAGTTATGAAGATCAATAATATTTGACGTTTACTGAAAAATGTTAACAATTCGTTAATATTTAATATTTAAAATTTATGATATTTTAATTATTAATATGTCACGTATGGCAAATAAATATATATATATATATATTAAATAATTAAAAAAAAAACATAAATAACCCGAACATAACTTAATACAATCTAACAAAAAAATGGTTTAATTATGAATCATATTCGAACCATTTAAATTATCGACTTAACTGATTATTATATATTTAATTTTTTTATTGTATTTAATTTCTAAATATTTATTTTTACACCAACCAAACAAAACATACTATTCAAGTGGGTCATTAATAATAATAATATTATTATTATTATTAATATTGTTAAAATAGTGCATAGGATTGATTAGATAGGTGTCGCGACTTTGGGTCGATGAATCTAACCTTTTTTTTTCTTTCTTAAAAAGAAAAAAAAAGAAAAAGAAAAAAGAAAAGAAAAGAAAAGACAATGACAGAATAAAATAATATTATATTAATCAAACTTTTCCACTTTCATTTAATTGCTTACTTAATCTGTTTCCACTTTCATTAAATTAACAATAATCATATTAATTAATAACAGCCTTCCTTTTCATTTTCCGCATTTTTAATTAATATATATATTTTAAAAAAAATTAATTACCCAAACAGTCCAAAATCCAATTTTAAAATTTTAAATTTGGATAAAAATCTCAGCTATTATTTATTGTAAAATGGCCAAATTGGCATATAAAATTTGGAGAATAATATAGATAATTAGATTTAACAACTCTCGTGTATAAAATTATGCATTGTGATAAAACACCCGCTCTATCATAAAGAGTCGTAGTTATCAACATTTAATAAAATAAATAATATTTATTATTTCCAACTGTTACACAACTTATCGAGACCCAGATACATAAATCCAAAGAATATTCTTTATAAAATAAAATTAACGGACGTAAGCTAACTCGAACATCAATGTTAATTAATTATAAATATATATAATTTAATAAACCCTTGTTTTTTTTTGGAGTGAATTAAAAAATTAACACTAAGGTCGATCAATTAGCGCTCAAAACGTGGGAGCCACGTCTCTATTCGACAGTCCCAGTGGGCCATTACGTGGATTTCAACTAACGGTAATATTTTTTTAAAAAAATATTATTTTATTTTAGTTCAGGCATTTCATCGAACACATTGTAAGCACAGTTCTCAGAATAGTACAGAATCCAATTCCCTTTCTGCTCCTTCTCAACAATGGTGCGATCCACGTCAGCAAAGGTTGGCTTTAATGGCAGAGAGAGTGATGCTTGGTCTGTGTCAGTGGGGTGTCGGCGTTCAACATCACCGGCTGAAAACGACGTCGTGCAGGCGGGCGGGCGGGCAGGGTGAAAAGGCATGCCTCGTATCGGTTGTATAGCAATTCAAGTCGGCTACGCCTTTGGGCGCCCACCAGGTGTTCGACGAAATGTCTCTTATAAGTAAACTAGGATATCTTTTGTTTGTTTTTGTGTGTACTTATCAGCTGAATTGCATCTTAAAATCGTGTGTTTTGATGGCTTGTTTTGTAGTGGAAGGGATATATTATTATAGTAGGAGTTCATCATTTAACTTTTTGACCCCAAAATTGAATCAACAAAAGGGATTTGAGCTACGTTTTTCAAGCTGTATTCATGTTGCTTTTTCGTAAAAGCAACCAATTTTGGCAACTTGTTGGTGTGTTATGATTAAGATATTACCATATCTCCAATTAGATTAGATTACCAGCTGGCTTGACACTAAGTCGTTGTCTCTTGGTCAAAGATATTTATATATATCTTTCCTTGACGTCTCTCGATCAAAAATTTAAACTCGTTTTTTTGTACTTTAGTTATACTCGTGATTATTTAAAGTCGTTTGGATAGGTAATATACTGATGTGTGTCGGTCCAGATTTGTATAAATTTAAGCGTATGGTTACAACTTGATGTTTAGAAAGTTGTTTGCGTGCGATACTCAGCTTCTGATGTGGGTAGGAGAAGCTATGTTGTGGGCTCGTTGCGATTGTCTTTATCTGTTTCAAATTGACTATTTTTAATTCCTTTTGTAAAGGGAATCTTCGGTTGTCTTCTTGTCTATTGATGAGTAGATTTGGTCACTTGTGGTGGCATGAATGTGTCTATCCTTTAAGGAGTCAACCTGGGGAAAAATAGGTTGGAATTTTCCAAGTAGGGAATGTGTCGAAAAAATGTATGTACTTTATGGGCTTTTTTTTTTCGTCTTTTTGAAAATTGTAACTTAGAATTCACTTTTGAATATATACTGATATGGATGATATAATACGTCTTTCTGCTTATTGAGTTATAGCTGGTTGGCAAGGAGGCTGTCGATGTTTTGATCTCGATCACTTTAAATGACTTTTCGAAGATTTTGTTCGTTTCTTATGTTTGTAGCACGATATTATAAATAGAAGATTTTATTCTATATATATAGAAAAATCACAAAAAAAATTAGCCTGGTGGATAGTTTAGTCATCACGATCTACTAGAGTGTTATGCATAACGAAGCACGTAATGGAATTAGGTCAAAAGGTAACATAGATGGGTTCGAGGTTGATTAGGGGTTTGAGCCTAAAGTTAAGGTTGACTCGTGGACGAGGCAGACCCTAACTTTATGCTTGTAATGAGTATGAGGACGAGGTGGACCCTAAGTCTAACTACATATAAAGTTAGTATTTTGATAGGTTGGATAATTAATGTGGCTTTATTAAAATATCAAAAAGTTGGTCGTGTGTAATTATTGATAAGATTAGGTGCATTTAAGCAAATAATTTTTTTTACGTTAAAATAATTAATTTTCCAAGAATATCTGAAATTAGAAGCAACAAGTTCATACGATTGGGCTACGGCCCATGATGTCGTTTTTATCTGGACTAGTCTGAGCCCAAAAAGGCCGTCATTATTGGGCCTTATGGCCCAAGTAAAAGGGGAACAAACTGTTAGTTGGAGCCTTGGAGGTTAGAACGTTATTTCTAAAATATTTATAAGACTAAATTAATAAAAAAATACTTATTGTTTTAATAATACCCTTAAAATAAAAAATTCAAATGTTTTATTGTTATTAAAAAATAAATGAATTATTGAAAGTTTTAAAATTTACCGATAATAGTTTTATTAATTTAACCTATTAAAACCGTAGTTTTATTAGTTTTTTTATATTAATTTAGCATATTTATAATTATGGTTTGTAATAGAGTAGCCACCATATGCCAAACATGAATGACTTACATTGCCAGTGCCTTGAATAATGTTGATCTCATTCGAGTTTAGAGGTGACTTGTTCGACTTGTCTGCGACAATTATTACCCACCAAGTACAACACATATAGGCACGGTTGTAAAATCTATATGACTTATCTCGCGTAAAAGGGAGACGTAACACCTTTGTCAAGGTGCGCAGCCTAACCTAAAGCTATCCCTACACTCACTCGAACATTAATCTGAGCTCCCGAACATGTGGCTGAGCACTGTACTAATACAAGACTTTGAGATAGGTACTAGTTCAAAAGTATCATTTCAAGGGTCGATGATAAAAAAATTGGGTTAGTCCTCTCCCATTTCATTGTCTCTCTCTCTCATCACGTGACTTTCTCTCTCTTTCTTACAAGTCACACTCCCCTAAGTCCACCCCTTTTAATGCTCTTTTTTCCCTCTTCCCAAAACTTCCTCTTCTTTTTTGACTTTGCCGCCCCCATTTCCTCCCCTGGATCTACTTTCTACTTCATTTTCACTGAATCTTCTTCACTAACTCGTTCATTTTCATTTTCCATTTCTATTTCTCTATGTAAGCTTTCAATCATGGGCTGTTTTCAGTCCAAAACCATTCATCTTCCTTCCCCAGACGACGACCTTCCCCCACCACAGTCCAAACCAGATCCAGGTATGTTTCTTGTTCTTAATACCTTTTAAAATCTCATGATTTCTGAGTTTTTTTTTTTTTTTTTGGTTTTTTGAGTTCTGGATTCTGAAATTTTTGTGGATTTTTGAAGCTAATGGTGAAGAACTGGAAGTAGGGGAAGTTCCTGCATTCAAGAACTTTGAGCTAGTGGAGCTTCGAGCTGCCACTAATGGCTTCAGCTCAGAGTTGATTGTTTCTGAAAGTGGAGAGAAAGCTCCCAATGTAGTTTATAGAGGGAAGCTTCGAAATAATCGTTTGGTTGCCATTAAACGCTTCTCCAAGCAGTCATGGCCTGATCCCCAACAATTTGTGGTAATCTCTGTGTTAAGCTACATTCGTTCCATTTTGGATTGATGTTTTGTTTGTTAATTGCATGTGATTTTGAACACAGACTGAAGCTTCTGGAGTTGGTAAACTGAGGTTTAAGAGATTGGTTAATTTAATTGGATGCTGTGCTGAGGGGGATGAGAGGCTGTTGGTGGCAGAGTACATGCCTAATGACACTCTTTCAAAACATCTGTTCCATTGTATGGTTTGGTCTTTACTTAATTAACTCTTTGTTTCTTGAGAATATGTTTACTTCATTTCAAGTGTTTTGTGTACTCAAAATGGAAGATTCTGATATCATCGAGTAATTTCGTTCGTTGTCTACGTTTATTTACGATAGCTAAGGTGCCTGGATTGTACATTACATAAACTCCATGAGCTGTTGAGTCTATAGTGAGCTGGTGAGATATGTCATATATCAGGTAGGATTGAAGAGCTTTGTGGGAAAGAAAGTAGTTAAGAAGAAATGAGTCGGTTCTCTCTCTCTCTCTTCTCTCTCTCTCTCGAGGATTGCTGCAATCTATCTATGAACATATGAATTATCCCAAAAAAGATAGTTTGGAAGGGCGTTTTATTTCTATTTCCATTGAGGTGACCAAGAGCATTGTCGTTTGACCTGACCCACCACTAGCAAATATTCTCTGTTTTGGCCCGTTACGTATTTTCGTCAGCCTTATGGTTTTAAAACACGTCTACTAGGGAGAGGTTTCCACACCCTTATAAGAAATGCTTTGTTCCCCTCTCTAACCGATGTGGGATCTCACATTCTACTCCTTTGGGGACCAACGTCGTTGCTGGCACACTGCCCAGTGTATTGCTTTGATACCATTTGTAACAGCCCAAACCCACCACTAGTAGATATTATATGCTTTGGCCCTTTACATACTGCGTCAACCTCACGGCCTTAAAACGCGTCTAGTAGGGAGTTTCATACCCTTATATGAAATGCTTCGTTCTCCTCTCCAACCAATCTGAGATCTCACAAAAAGCCTGCTACCGGTCTTAGATAAAAAATCATACCCTAATGGTTTACCCGGCATCAGTGACAGTTGGAGCTTTGATTATAAACTCGCCCTGTCTCTACCTACCCACCGCCCTTGTCTTAACATTCCTGTTCAGTTGAACTTTAGGATTTTTCATTATCTCAGCAGGAATATGTTCCAGTTTTTGAATGATTTTCCATTACAATGCAGGGGAGAAACAACCATTTCCTTGGGAGATGCGTGTTAGAGTTGCATATTACATAGCACAAGCACTCGATCATTGTAGCACAGAAAACCGAAAAATATATCATGATCTAAACGCGTACAGAGTCCTCTTCGATGAGGTAGACATTCAAAGGCTATCGTTGTTTCTTTTAGTTTTAGCATTTTCAGATTACAAACGTCGGTCTGCCATGGATTATTCATCCATCAACTATAACAAACTTTATTGCAGGATGGCAATCCTCGGCTATCCAGTTTTGGTCTGATGAAGAACAGTCGGGACGGAAAAAGCTACAGTACCAATTTAGCTTATACTCCACCGGAATTTCTACGAACAGGTATATCACTAGAACATCTGAGCTTCTCACCGTGTTCTAAAACGCCCAGGAAAGGCATGCAAAGCAGCTCTTTAGCTAATTAGATGCTCGATTTTGTTTCTTTCAGGCAGGGTCATACCAGAGAGTGTGATCTACAGCTATGGAACCATTTTGCTCGACCTTTTAAGCGGGAAGCACATTCCTCCAAGCCATGTACGATAACTTTTGCCTCCGAGCCATGTATATTGAGTGAAACCGTCACTACTTGCCCCTTCTAGTGAATGATAACCGATCCATTGCTTCTCGAGCATCAGAATCTCATTCGAAATATGTTTTATAGAGCGATTTTCGCATCCCTTTTATATTGCTTGATCGCCTTTGTTATAATCACAGGCATTAGATTTGCTAAGAGGGAAGAATTTGTTACTGTTAATGGATTCATCCTTGGAAGGACAATATGGAGATGATGATGCTACTCAGTTGATTGATCTTGCTTCCAAATGTCTACAATACGAGGCAAGAGACCGTCCCGATGTAAAGTTCGTTCTTTCAGCGGTGGCTCCTCTGCAAAAGCAGGAGGTAAACTTGTCAATGTCGTTTTGTTATGTAACTCGAAAATTCTTTTATTCGCACTCACGGGTTTTTCTTAAAGTCGATATCGTAGGTTGCATCGCTCGTACTAATGGGTTTAACAAAAACACCCGTGGTGTTGCCAACTATGCTTTCGGTACTCGGAAAAGCTTGTGTACGGATGGATCTTACTGCTGTACACGATATATTACTTAAAGTCGGATACAAGGACGAGGAGGGCGCGGAGAATGAAGTGTGTTATTACTACATTTATTATTAATTTTGCCTCTAATTTACGTTATGCTCGTTGTCCGCTTGCCCATCGTAAGGCTAATCCCGAGATGCTAAGAGACGACGGGTATCTCTAAACACCTCATGCCCTAATGTTAGTGAATGCTTGCTTTGTTCAATTTACAGCTTTCATTCCAAGAGTGGACTCAGCAAGTACAAGACATGTTGAACACGAAAAAGTTTGGGGATATTGCATTTAGGGACAAGGATTATAAAAACGCCATAGAGAACTACTCGAAGGTTCGTTCTTCTCTCTCGACTTCATAGCTCATGTAGCACGGCTAGTTCTCGAAGCTGTCGCATTTCATTGTCTATAGTTAACATTATGATCATCTTTGAAACTGCAGCTAGTATCAATGATGTCAGTTCCTTCTGGTACCGTGTTTGTGAGACGAGCGCTCTCCTACTTGATGGTTGGTCAACCCGAGCTTGCATTGAGAGACGCCATGCAGGCTCAGGTATGCTTGCCTGAGTGGCCGACTGCGTTCTATATGCAGGCTCTTGCGCTCTCGAAACTAGGAATGGAATCGGATGCACAGGACATGCTCAACGACGGAGCATCGTTCGAAACGAAGAAGCAGAACATATGGCGTAGTTAAACGGGAAAGATCCCGAGAAGCCGAGTTCTTGGTTAACTCCTGATGTTTTAGTTGGAGATATGTATAAAAGCGTCCATCATAGAGAGGAGCTTCTTGTGTTCTTGTGTTGTTTGGGGTTTGAACTTAAAAAAATTTCTTATGCTTACCTGCAAATTGTTATTGTATGTATGTATTGGAAGATATAGCGAATGAAAATCAAGTTTTTGCAATTTTGCCCACAAAAAATTAAAATATCATTTTGGTCGTGTTTTGTTTCATTTTAGCATCTATACTAATTTATTTTTTTGTCCCTGCACTTTTAATAAATTTTAGTTTAGTCTTTGAAAGTTAATTTTTTTTAATACTGAAATTGGCAATTTAGATTTATATTAATTTTTATGATGAATTTTTAAATTTTCATAATTTAAAATTCTTTTAATTTTATCTATTTAATCTAAAACTTTAATAAATAAATGAATGAATTTATATTATTTTCTCGCTGAAATTGGAAATTTATGATTAAAATTGATACAAACAACTAAATTTTGGGTTAAAATATATTAAAAAAAAAAGAAAAAAAGAAAAACCATTGGTTATTAAAAAGAAAAAAGAAAAAAAGAAAAAAGACCGTGTTCCACGACCTGAGGGATTAGTTTAAAAATGTAGACATGGCCCACATTAAATACGGAGTTTCCAATCGTTTTTTTAAAATAATTAAATGGGTATATATATATATAGGTCCGGTCGTTCAATCGATTCCAGACAGTGTTACGCATTGCCCGCTCTCTAGGTATTTCCTCTCTTCCTTCGAATTTTCGCTTGTTTTTATTTTTTTCCCTCTTTTGATCGATTATTTTCTGCTACGAGTTTAATTTTCGTATAAGTTTCGTTTAATCTTCGTATAAGTTTTGTTTAATCTGCTCATGATCTTTGTTTTGGTTTTAAACGTCTTGGTTGGAAATCATTCATTCTCTTTAATCGCGAATAGACGTGGAATTCATGGTTATTCAAAAGTCGATTTCGTTCTCAGAGATATTGATAGGTTGCTGTCAAACTTTTGAATGGGGAAATTCAAATTTAGCATCTAGTCAATCGGTAGGGTCTTGGAATTTAGGATTCACCGTCGGAAAATCATGAAGGTGGAGTCTCTAGATTGTACAAAACATGGCGTTAGGTCTAATTAAAACTTCGCGTTTGATTCAAATTAGGTGCTGCAGTTTTTTTAGGATTATTGAATTCAATTTTCTGGCGATTTACTTCACAATAGAGATAATAGAGGTGTATGGTGTCCAGTTTCCCTCAATATTTGTCAACCATTCTGTTGGAAATTGGAATCATTCCTTCGCTCTATCATAATCTGGGAGTTTAGTTGCGATGGTACAGTTTTTTTTTATATGTGCTTAAAATAGCAGGTGCATTTATTTTACCATATAGTTTCGAGGGTCTGCTAGTTGGTAAATTTTGCGCCTAAATGTTTGGGACCTTCTGCCTTTTCTGACGGCAACAAGAAACATTTGCTCTTGGCCTGGAGTTTAGCAAAATCGAGTCTCTCTTCCTGCTTGGTGGACATATTTTAATGTATCTCTAAGTTTGAAAAAGTTTCTTGCTTTGTTTTGTTCAACATGTCTAAAATTTTTATGGCTTTGATTCAAGAATTGCAAATGATTTGAGTATATTTTTAATTGCTATGGAATTTACAAATTATCACTGCATATAAAATGACCTGTTTAAAACTGTGACTAAAAGACCAATCAGGATAAGTATTGTCAAGATAAGGTTGGGAAGCTATATTTGGATTAAGTTATTATTCGTATTTTATCATGTTATTGTTACAAAAAAATGCATGTCGTAAATTTTTTCCTGGTTAGAATGAGAATAAATGGAGTAATGATAATGTAAATAAACTGGCTGCCTGTGCTTTTCTCTCACCCTTATTCATTTCAATTGTTTCGTTTCTCTATTCTGCTCTAGGTGTCCTATACTATAGATCATAAAAGAGTTCTAGTTGATGAAACTCCAGGCCCCACATAAGTGCACCAAAGGAGTTTTGTGCATTCAATATAGGAAATGTGATTAGAGTGCATTAGAACAAGCAGTTTAGTTTAAATTTATTATGTCAAGGTTCATACCTCCTTTTATTATGCTTTAGTAATTTTTTGAAGTGGAGGGCTTCTTCAAACAACAAGGAGGGGTGTGATTGTGTTTGGAAATTTTGCTCGTATATTTTGTTGCCATAAATTGCCAGTGCCATCAATAGATTATTGCATAGCTTCTGTACTTTTGACAAGCTAGAATAACATAGTGAGTTACTCGCAGAAAATAAAGCAGAGTGCCATTTTATGGATATAACAGTACCTGGTGGGAATGATCCTGAGGAAGTGACTCGTGAGTCGCTTATCGCCATTTCTTACGAGGAACCAGAAACAGCTCTCTCTTCAAAGCGATCATCTGGAAAGCTCAGTAGCGAAAACCTCAATCTGGTCAACGGGATAGACCACAGTCTGGTGGAAGGGAAAGAATACGATGTAGAGAAATATAGATCTGAGCTGATAGCCATTTCCTTTCTTGAGTCACCACCTGAAATTGGAAGTGGAACCGTGACCGAACTCAAGGGTTAGTGCCTGGACGTCCGTTATCATAAATGTATACGCTCTTATGTAAAAATGGTACTAATCTAAGTTCATGGCTGTGTTGTTATGACTGTAGAGCAATGCTGTCCGTGTTCGTTGTTTTTGTAACATAAACCCTCTGCACGGGTTGTCTGTCTGTACTATCTTGTGGAAACTTATTGCTGTGTGAACCCAATGAATGAACTTGGTACTCAGCATTTTTCTTATTCATTTATGTCATTTTATTGTAATATCATACAGTGGTGCCTTAAATATTGTATATAGTTTATACATTGTATGTTAATAGTTTCAAACTAATTATTGTTTCAAGTAGTTTATAGTTAAGATGATTGAGTTTAGTACTTGAGGAGAGTCGTTTGATATCTATGCTACTATTCGGCCGGCTTGGTTAGTTTAGTTGCATAACATTGTTATGTGCTTGTTATACTGCTCATTGTTTCTGAGTGGTTCGTTTTTTTATTGTTAGTGTCAAAAACCTGATTCCAAACTATTCTCCTGATTGAAGTTTGTAAATCCAGCCAAAATTTAGCAAATGGTTGCACAATTTTCTTGGAGTGCTGAAAGAATTGAAAAATGATCTTTAGTTATGAATGAGACAGGTGAAAAATGGGGCGACAAAATCTGACTTGCAGATTGATGGAGAACGGTGGAAACAACCAGGATCCTTGGTAGCCTTTCAACATCAGATTCACACGAAATAGAGTGAGTTAAGGACACGAGTTTCATTTTGGGTGAATTAGTTAATAAGCTTGCTGCTTGTGTTTTTTACTCCATCTCCTTTTCATTTCAATTGTTTCTTTTCTCTATCCTGCCTTAGCTGAGTTGATCAAACTCCAGGCCCCACAGAAGAGCACCGTAAGGGAGTTTTGTGCATTTAGTTTAGGAAATGAGATTAAAGTGCATTACAACAAGCGGCGTAGTTTAAAATTATTAGTTCAAGGTTCATACCTCCTTTTATTGTCCTTTAGTAATTTTTCAAAGGTCTGGTTTTTGTAGTCTTGTTGAGTCAGGTTGCTGCTAGAATATTGATTCTTTGCTTTTATTGAGTCTTGGCTGGGACGTCAACAACAATGCATGCAACTTAGACTAGAGTACCTGCTTAATTTCAAATCTGCTGTTCTTCTGAATTAGTCATTGTATGTATGAGTTTTTCCATGCAAAACCTGCACACAATTTCAATGGACATCTAAAGATCATTTGCCTGTTTGATTAACTGCAATCAAATTATGCATTCCTTTCCTCCCAATTTTCTTGGTCGCTGTTGTGTGCTTGTCGATATGTGCTGTAAGACTCTAGTTACTGCATTTACATGGTAGGTCTTTTGAAGTTCAAGGGGTGTGATTGTGTTTAGAAATTTTGTTCATATTTTTTGTTGTCATTCATTGCCAGTGCCGTTAATAGTTCATTGCATAGCTTCTGCACATTTGTCCAAGCTAGAATAATATAGCTTCTGCACGTCGCTTATTGCCATCTCTTACGTGGAACCAGTAACAATTTTCTCTTCAAAGCAATCATCTGGAAAGCTTGGTAGCGAAAACCTCAATCTGGTCAATGTGATAGACCACAATCTGGTGATCTGAGCTGACAGATATTTTCTTCCTCGAGTCACCACCTGAAATTGGAAGTGGAACAGTGGCCGAATACAAGGGTTAGTGACTGGACGTCGATCGTATACGTTCTTATGTAAAAATGATACTAATCTAAGTTCATGAACGCGTTGTTATGTCTGTAGAGAAATGCTGTCCATGTTCTTTGTTTTTGTAACATAAACCCTCTGCACCGGTTGTATGTCTATACTATCTTGTGGAAACTTAATGCTGTGTGAACCCAATGAATGAACTAGGTACACAGCATTTTTCTTTTACATTTGTGTCATTTTGTTGTAATGTCATACGGTGGTGCCTTAAATATTGTATATAGGTTATACATTGTATGTTCATAGTTTCGAACTAATTATTGTTTCAAGTAGTTTGTAGGTAAGACGTTTGAGTTTAGTATTTGATGAGAGTCGTTTGGTATCTATGCTAACTATTCGGCTAGTTTGGTTGGTTTAGTTGCATAAGATTGTAATATGCTGGTTAGATCGCGGTCATTGTTTCTGAGTGGTTTGTTTTTTATTGTTAGTGTCGAAAACCTGATTCCAAACAGTTCTCCTAACTAAAGTTTTGTAAATCCAGATTCCAAATTTTAGCAAATGGTTGTACAAAGTTCCTGGAATGCTGAAAGAATTGAAAAATGATCTTTAGCTATGAATGAGACAGGTCAAAAATGATGGAGAACGATGGAAACAACCGGAATCATCGGTAGCCTTTCCACATCAGATTCACAAGAATTGGGTGAGTGAAGGGCATATGAGTTTCATTTTGGGTGAGTCGGTTATAAATATGAATACTAACGTATGCACGTGAATCAGGTCAGGAGGCAGTGGGCGTCATTGATGAAAACAAAGAAACGGGTTTAAAGCATGCTGAAAGGCCAATCAAAGTGTTTGGAGAACAAATTCAGTTAAGTATTCTGAGGCTGTAAATTTTGTTGGGATTTGGACCAAACAGACACTTGGCTTTCATGATTTAGGCAAATGGGGCTCTGAATAATTTGTGGGGGTTGCAAAGTGGCTAAAATGCGGTGAAGAACAGGGAAATATTTATCCAAGTCATGAAAATGGGGTTAAAAGAGGTTTTGATACTTAAAAGAGATGCAATAGTTTGACCTTGGGAACCATGGAGAGCACAATCTTAGGGCCATTTTTAGGATGCCAACAAACAAATTTCCTAAAAATTTAGTTGGATTCCATGAATATGGTTGTTGTTGGAGCACAATATTTTAGGTAACCAATATTTTAGGTAACCAATATTTTAGGTAACCATCACACTTATTTCAAGTCTCAGTTACCATATATTATTCTAACCTTTATCTATGAAGTTCGAGATAATATTGTAGCTTTTGAAAAGAACGGAGTATTTTTTAAACCTAGGATAGGATAGATTAGGAATACTTTTGGTAATTTAGCCCAAGAAAATCAACCAAATTAGGATATGGGTTGGTGGGTGAACTGGAAATGGGAATGGGAAGTTAAATATTAAGATCCTACCTGGTGGTTTTGGAGTACCTAGTGGAAAGGTTAGTGTTAATTAAGGATAATATTATTATTGCACTGTTAGTATAGTGACCACAACCGAGGATAAGGATGAATCTTGAGCCTTTTGTCAATGGTAGGGAGTAAAAGTATCTTGGTTTGTCGATTTTCTTGGATAGGAGTGGTAAACAAAAAATACCAAGTGTTAAAAAAACTCTGTAGGTTTGGACACGAGGATGACGATTACAAAAGAGAAGATTATTTTTTTTTATAATCTCTTAAAAATTATCCTCACAAGACGCTGAACAAAACGGCCTCTTTGTACTACTGTCCTTGTCGTATTTTAATGTATTAGACTTTTTAATACGATACATTGTTTAGAGACCAAACCCTCCCATGGAAAAAGGCTTGAAACCGTAGCTTTTAAGAACTTGTCACTAAGGCAGTGGATTAAAACCGTAACAATGTAGACTCTTTTTCCCAGGGGCCTTGCATGCAAGAGGGAAGGACTTTTTCCCTGGAGGTATCTGGATAAACAGGACAAATGATTTCTTGATCCCAAGGCCTTTACTTACTGTAAAAGAAAAAAATCAACTGCTTACCATAAGGAGAGCTTCTAGATAGGAGAGCTTCTAGATTATTTCCCCCCTTTTTTTGCTTTAATTCTTTTGTGGAAAATTTTAGTTTTGTAATAGCGTGGACTATTTTTCATATTATTCTCATATATTGATTCGTGTTAGCAGTATTTTTAAGAATTAAAAGAGGTAGGTAGTATGGCTTGACTAAAAAAATTCCAGTTTGAGCTTGTCCCTTGTTGATTTGGCCCGAGAATAAGGCTAAGTTTGGAGTTGTGTATGCTAATGCCCCCATTGGACTGCTTGTAAAACATTTGAATTTGTGTTGGCTGCCGTATTTTGGTGCAAGAGTTTGGCTTTAAGATGTCAAAGTTGGAAGTTTGTTACTTAAATATTGAGATCCCAGTCCGGTTGGAAAAGGGAATGAAACATTCTTCATAAGGGTGTAGAAACCTCTCTCTAACAGATGCGTTTTAAAACCGTGAGGCTAACAACGATACATAATGGACAAAAGCGGAGAATATCTGCTAGTGGTGGGATTAGACTGTTACAAATGATATCAGAGTTAGACAACGGGTGGTGTGCCAGTGAGGACGCTGGACTTCCAAGGGGGGGTGGAGATCCCACATCGGTTGGAGAGGGGAACAAAGCATTCCTTATAAGAGTGTGAAAACCTCTCTCTAACAGACGTATTTTAAAGCCGTGAGGCTGACGATGATACGTAATGGGCCAAAGCAGACACTCCTTAGTTCATAATTTGTTAACAAAGCTTGTAGGAAGAGCACGAGAAATTACAAACTATAGAAATGGATGGTTTATGGACTAAATTTACAGCAAAATGCATCTAACTCTTGTTATATTCATATCATTTTTAATGCAACAATCAATTCATATCAACTGTTAGATCTCCATAATTGAGCTGAACATCCTAATCCTTTCACTTTCACTCTACTATTTCCTTCTTTCCATCAATCTTTCTGTTGTTAAAAGGAACAATTTCAGCCTCTAATGGAAGAGAAGCATGATGATGGGTCCTTTCCTGTTTTCATTTGAATTGATTTGGTTAATCTATCAATCAAACTGCCCCTAAACTCTCCAACTTTAGGGAACACATATGCCTAACTTAGCCATTACCATTATCATTGCCTTATCTGCCACTGTTTTTCTTATCAAAGCATCTTCTGAGGACCATGCATTTCTTTGCTTTGATTTGGATATATGCTCTGTAATAGTAACCTACATTCATCACTGGCTGCTGCAGGTGATGTGAAAATCAGCTTCGTTGTCTCAGTCATTTTGTTGTTGCCGAGGAAAATCACTGTCAAAACAGGTTCTTTTTACCCTTCTGTAAAAAGATAAGTCTGTTCCCATTAGCTTTGAGTAAATTTTTGTTTGAAGATTTGGAATCTTTCTGGAATTTTGTACTTTTACTTGCAATGGTTAATGTAAATATTTGATTATTGGGGTAATTTTGTTTGAAGACTAAAGTTGTTTTATTAGCAAGTTTTTATGGTAATTCTTTTAATATATACGGTTTTTCATGCATTGAATGAAGAACAAAACTCTGGATAATTTTAAGGGATGTACACTTTTGGGATAAGAACAATAAAGTTGGAACGGAACAAAAAGGACAGTTTCATAATTTTTTTTTTCTTTTTTGGTAAATTCCAAAAAAAATACCTTTCTTGGTTTCCATTTCTGAATACGGACCATTTTCTTATGAGTGTTTGTTGCAAATGATTATGAAGGGTGAAGTTACTTTTATGCCCTTAGTTCATTCTAGGTAAAATAACATTTAATTTTTCACCAAATTAGTTACTTTTCATCTTTTCAACAAACATTTTTTTTTTTACCAACACTTTTGAACGAAGTATTTAAATAAGATCCTTATTACATTGTTATTTACATGCTTGAAATCGTACATTAAAGATACTTTTGGTATCCTTTTTGGTTTATAAAGGTAGGGGCATAACTGTCTTTTTCAAATTTAATGGGTCTGAAAATAGTATTTTTTTTTTTTTAAAAAAAAATGAACCCACTTTAACAAATGGAAACCAAAAGGAGGCCCCCTTCGTTTGGATTTCCCCCCCCCCAAAAAATAAATAAGAAAAAACAATAATTTAAAAAAATAAATGTATGAACTACCAAACATTTCATTTTCAATTTCTTTCCAAATTTTCTTTATTTATTAATTCTCTTCTAGAATAATTTATTTACTGTATTACCAAAAATATGATTTGTGGTGAGATATATCCATTGAATTATTACTTTTTGAATGATTTATAAGCATAGCCTTCCCTTATATGCCTACAAAAATTACACCAAAACCTTCCCTTTTCTATTAGCACAATGGATTCATACCATTTTATTCCTAGAGTAAGTAGTCCTTAATTTGATAATTATTAAGTTTTTCATTCATTTGCTCATCATGATTTTTTTACCAATTACAGTGTATAAATCAAATTAATCAACATATAAATAAATATGATTACAAAAACTATGCATCTATCTATAAAATCACTTAATAAAAAAAAGATATTTATTAAAATATTCATATATATTACTCTTTTTATAGACTTCTTTTAAAAATATTAAATTTTGTCTATTTTGGACCTTATATTTTATTTAATAAAAGTGTATAAACCTAAATTAATAATAAAAAAAAGGGTATAAAATAATATTTTAAACATATATGACAGCCATGTTTATGAAAGAGAGGATTTTTCTTTACAAAGCATATAATTCCACGACACGTGACCTAGGTCACGTGACACTATATTAATTAAACTTAAAAAGGAAAAAAAAAAAAAGCAGCAAATTTTATTGAAGTTAAAATAATTACTAGGCAACAATATTTTACCAAATATAATAAGAATTGCCACGTAAGCAGCCAGATTTCATTTGTAGCGAGGGGTTGGTGTATAAATAGGAAACTTGTTGGAGGAAATTAGTCACTCTCTCTTCTACTTCCATCCCTTTTAATATATATTTTTTATATATAAATTTCTCTTTTTTTTTGGTTGGGTTGAAAATTTGATGGAGTCGACTTGGGCTGTGGCCGCGGTGGTGACGGCGGTAGTGGCGGTGGCGACGGTGTTTTCGGTGTTGAAATGGGCGGCGAAGAGTTTGAATGAGTGGATATATGAGGCGAAATTGGGTGACCGGCGGTTGGCTCTGCCGCCGGGGGATTTGGGATGGCCTTTAATTGGGAATATGTTGGGTTTCCTTAGAGCCTTCAAGTCTAAGAACCCTGAAACTTTCATTGATGGCTATGTTTCCAGGTCATTAACTCTCTCTCTCCTCTTCTTTCCTTTCTCTCTCTACACCTTATTGGTAGAGGACGCCTCGATACGAGCATCCGTCTCTCCCTACCTTTACATGCATACTTAAATCGGTCGTTTTAAACCTCTTAACCAGTTGAATTATGTTCGTGTTCTTATTTATCGTATTCGTTTAATCCGATATTTAAACCAATGTTTTTCTTTTTCTATTTTTTTTAGTATTTTTTTGGAGACATGCATTTGTCAAGTTCATTTTTAAGTAAAATATTATTTTAGTCTGTATACATTGAATCTCATCTCATTTTAGTTTTTTTTTTTTAATTTAATATTTTATTTTATCAATACATTTTAAATTTGGGTTAATAGGTAAATTAATAATAAATATTAAAAGTAAAAAAGAAAAAAAAAATTATTTCATTTATATATTAGCAGAATATATTTCAGATTTAAAATTTATGTGTGAGTATGGGGTTATTTTAGTATTTTTACAGGTTGGTGGGTTCAAATAGCAAATTTGTATTTATTTTTAACATATCTTTCTTCCTCGTGAAGAATTCTTTTTTTTTTTTTTTTTTTTTTTTTTTTTTTTTTTGTTTTTG